CAAAAATGCAAAAAAAATCCATACAGGAAATCCAAAGGGATTTCAAGGAGCCACTGAATTTTCCTCCAAAGTGGAAACCAGAAAAAATGGGACAGAATTGTCCCTGCCTGAAAAGAACTTGTCTGTGACACCAAACTGCATTTGTACTCGTCAAATAAAGAAAAAAGTAGCCACACACATTTCTTACATACTTTTCCAATAAACAAAAAGATAAAATGCAACGAACTTCATCACCAAACAATATCCAAAATTGGACAAAATTCCACATTCTAGGGAGGAACTATGGACAAAAGTTGATCAGCCATTTTGAGAGAAATCAGTGGCAACACACAAAAGATTATGTACACTAGTTTCCATAGCAACAGCTGAGGAAGAACAACATGAATATCATTTTATCGGTCACAAATTATGTTCACACTTCGGGAAGCATGAAATATAATCATTCTCAATTTCCTGAACTAACTTCCACACCAGAAATTAAAAAAAAAAACTCAACAGATAACATATGCAGAAACTCAGCAACGTTATGAACTCAGTGCTCAAGGCAAATCCTTACCTACACAGGTATAACCATCGCCTTTATATCCCAGCCTGCAATGACAGTAGAAGCCCGGGTCCGTGTCCTCACAGAACGCATTGATGCTACAGTTGTGTCTGCCCGTGTAACATTCGTCTGTGGGGTTATGACAAACGGGAGAGGAGAGGGGGGTAATGTGAACAGGATGGACAGACCGGCTGATGATTTAGCACGGGAGGAGGGTGACACATACGTATTAACCTGTAACCCTGTGGGGGGAGGTAGGGGGTATGGACTACTGAATCCACCATATGTATCATCCCAGGGAATATGGGCCACATTTCCTGGAGAGGAGGAGGTTTGCAGGGGGCCTTAAACTGCGTCAAGGAAAGGTGAAAATTGGGATAACGTCATGCAATAATTAACACGTTGCATTACGAGGTTGGGACTGCACTATAATTCTGTAATCTTACTGTTATATGAAGGGTGGCGAAAGAGATATGGGGGGGGCGAGGGGAAGTGGTCTAGTTGAATCTTTATGATCAGCCAGTAAAAACTCTTGAATTTGTACAGTTGTCAAAATCATCACCTCTAACCCTCTTCCGGTGTTTTCTGAATATACGGGGTTTTATTTCTAAAATCTTGTCTTTGTCTCTGTGTTCAACTTTAATTTGACTTTTGTGATCCGTTAAAAAGAGTTTTGAAAAAATTCTCTAGTCTGTGATCTCTTATCAAGCTACTAGAAGGTCATCAAGTAGACGAGTCTCTATTCAGGGAATTCAATTAAAAAATCCGAAGCCTGATGCCGAGGACCAAAATGAGAATGAGGTTTCAAAACCTTTTGTGAACTAATCAGAACCCTACACCAGTTAACAACATGAAGCTGGCTAGATTCAACTACTAGAAATAAAGATATTCTGGTCACTGCTGGAATCAACAAAGGCTTAATTGTAAGATATCGCTTGATTCAGCCAGGGATCGGCTCAAGATCTTTATGGCTGTATTCAGTACAGAGCGTAACATTTTGCCCAAATTAAATGAAGAGACTTGTAATGTTCAGTCATCCCTGTGCGCCTTTCCTGTATATTGAGTCGTCCATGTTTGCAATTATTGCCAGTTGTGTTACACCTGACACGTGGATATTGGGTTTTTGCTCACGAATGTCAACAATAGCTTCACCGGTTAACTCACAAGCTTTAATTTTAATCTCTGGCGATGCCTCACTCACAACTATAAACAGAACTTCACAATGCATACATCCGGCTAAATGAAGACAGCACGAAATTCTGCCAAGAGTGGGCGGCACTGATTGCATAGTTTGCCACAAAAAATTGGCGGAGGTAAAGGTTTCCGATAATCCAACGGCCGTGAGCACAAAGTTTCTTGAACAGTTGTTTGTGTCACATCCGGTGGAATTGTACAACTTCATAACGATCCACTGTTTTGTGTTTAACACTTTCATGAAATCCACATTAATCTGTCTGCCAAGTAAAAAACACTGTGACATACATTAACTTCATATGTATCTTTCTTTCACAAATCTTTCATGCTCAGTACAACATGATGGGATCATGTTTTATTCTCATCTGTATAAAGCTGGGGGTTCCAATTTTCATAATCATTTTGTGACAAAAGCCATTAAATATGTACAGGGTTACAGCTAAGCTGGTTGGCGCCGGTCGGGGATCTCCATAGCGTTCTACCGTCCGGCACTAAGCTTGAAGAAACAGCCCACCGACCAGCACGAAATCCTTTAAAAACATCCCCCCCAAAAAAAACATTAGTCACTATGAAATTTCATTTTTTTACCTAGAAAAATTGTTGAAAAATTGAACTTCTAATCAATTTGGAAAGTAAAACCCTGTGAAGAAGCAATCTAGAGTCCCGTTAAGCGGGCCCCTGGACCCCCCCCCGGCCATGGCCCACGACACTCCGGTCGCTTCGCTCCCGCCATTACTGAATTTATCCTGCACTAAAGTATGGCTGGCTATAACACTGGATACATGTCTATTTTTGCTTTGTTCACTGCATTTCACTTGAAAGGTTCTTTTTCCTCTGCACTTCTATGTGAGGCCCGCAGAACCAACACCACGCTTTTAAGACAGAGAGTACAATTCAGCTCAAAAACCAGAAACTATGATATGAGAGGCAAACAAGGAAGTCTGAACAGACGAAGGGCTGTATGAGGGGGGGGGTGGAGAAAGAGGGGTTGGGAGGATAGATGACGCAGCTCAATGCCAGCATCACGCAGTGGTTAGATCACACAACCACCTGTCGGCTCAACATTCAATTTGAATCAACAGAGGAGACTCATAAACCAACTTGAGGTCCAGGAGTATTTATATGCATGGTACCATCAAGCTTGCAATCTGACACACCAACTCTCGGGGGCTTTCTACTTTTAGGCTTTCCAATAATAAAAACTAATAGTGTGATTTACAATGCGCCATACCATCTAGACCAAAGCTTTAAGCAACACCAGATAAAAAAGTAGACATTTCCACAGACATTTGGGACCAGGTGAATTACGAAGTATTTCTCGAATATTCAAATGGTCTGCAGTGATCTGATGTTGGAGGAGATAATGTTCCAAAATGAACGTCCAGCAATTACGAAGGCTTCGTCATACACGCAATCTCATGACAAAGCTCATAATTTCAATCTACTAGCACAGGAGAGCAGACCACCCAAGGGAATAAATCAGTATTTATATTGACAAATTAAATTTAGAGCAATTTTTTTTCGCTCATAAAATCTGAAGCATTCTTTAGTTCTTAAACATGTTTGCAAAGAAAACAAACTTTCTCTTGAAAAGAAAGGCTGTCTCATTCTTAATTCTGTCCTCTTCATCTACAGAAATTACTAATAGAGTAGAAAACAGACCAAAGGTCATTATCCCTTGGTTTGAAGACCTTGACCAACAAGTTACCCACCATTACTGGGGTCATTTTCTTCCTTTTTTTCCTCTCTTATTGCAGGCAAAGTACCTTGACCTCCAGGGTGGGATCCAAGTAAGGATTACCAACTTTTTCTGCAGGGGAGTTTTTCCTAGACTTTCTTGGCCTCTGACTCATTTGATGGTCAGGCTGTTGTGGCTTGCTCGTCAAAACTCTCGATTATGAAGAAGTCAAATTTGCTTTTTGGGGGAGGGGTCGTATGTGATACATAACAGGTGAACCCTTGTTCTTTTTTAGGCTGGCTTTAGAGAGAGACAAAACAGGGATGAAATTCAAAAATTGCTCTGAAAAGAGAACTTCTGCCAATATCAAAACAGAAAATATTCACTTTCAGTGGTTTCCAAACCAGGTTTGAACCAAAATTTTTAACCTGCCCAATGATATGATGTCCTCTAAATATAAAAGCAAGTATCTGAACCTTTCAGCTGTTTTGTGCTTTGCAGTTTTTTTGCAAAATGAACCAGCTTTTGACACTCTCAACAGAGTTTTTATCTCGCAAATGATAAATATCAAATAACAATTTCAGGTATAAATGTAGCCCACTGTGCTGTGTTAGTGCGCCCTCTTGTGAGATTATAATGGCCATGCGTTGCACTTCACATTACCGCCTGTGATGACCGCCATGTTTCCTCATGTTTTGCGCAAGTTCTGACAGAAAACATCGTAATTCCAAATCAGCATGGATTATAATGGTGTAATCTGCAATTTATCATTGGCTCTCAGGTGAGTTATAATTATTACAAAAAAATGATAAAAACTACCTTCCTGGGAAGTGTGTTCTTTAAGTGTATTTTAAGGAAAGATATGGCATGTCAGTCCCCACACTGAGAAAGATTTATTGGTCATGCGTGCATATGGAAGGGCATGGTTATGTGTTTATAGCCGTCACTTTGTCGGTACCCGTAAATTCCGGGTGTACTGCTGGACTCGTGATTTCAGCAGAATGGGCATAAAATGCCACTAGTATATTGGAGTATAATTACTTCATTAGTTTGTCGATCTGTGGGAAGAGAGCATGTGTACATCATTACATGTACATGTATACAGTGTTCGTTTTATTCGGCTCTCTGCCCAAGGCTTTCAGCTTTCACCTCCCGGTAGACATCACCGCTGTTGGTGTTTGCGGCATCCAGCTTTGGATTTCACCAGTGAGGCAGCGCATCCAGCCCGAGTGGTGACTGTTGATGTATCGTGCCAGAACTACATATGCATGTGCAAGAGCTGCATGTATGTACATGCACACAGTGGACTGTTCCTTGTGGACTTAGTAACTGCCAGACAGGTGTGGACGGTCTGAGGTTCAGTATTGGTTGCTCCTGGCTAGAGGGAGGCTCCACCCCATGCAGTGGGAATGAACCAGTGAACTGAACAAAACTGAAAACTGTTTCAGATTGAAAGCAGGGTTCTGCTGCGGTTGATGCTGGAGATCTCATGTAAATTTATTACTATACGATCGTATCCCTTTTTTGGATTGAGCTCAGACAACTAGCATTTACTTGATGTAAGTTGTGTTGTTGTAATAAAAGCAAGAAAAGAAAAGAGAAAGAGAGTCCATTTGGCTTACATAAAGTAAAAATGTCTGTTTCAAAATGTTCAGCAGGGTTGATCCCTCCGAAATCAGCTCTTCCAAAGTTTCAAATTTACAGTAGATCAAATTTAGTGAAATTTCCTGATGACATCATCAGCCAACAAACTCAAGGCTCAGTTCATGGACCGACTTCCTACAAAAATTGACCAAGACTGTGCCGCACCATTTGTGATCGGTTCTCAGATTTATTTTGGCTCAGTACAAAGCTCTGCTAGGCATTTTTCTTTGGCCTTGTGGCTCCAGAGATTTGGGACCAGACTGTTACTGCCGGTAAACAGTTCTCTCTTGTTGAGGTGATCCAGCAGCCATTGTCAAAACAATTACGGCTGCCACAACTTCAGTGATTTCTTGTGGCGAATGTAGTCTTGGGTGGGGTCCTGTTTGCAAGGATTTGGGCTCAAAATAGACGAGATGGGACCCACTGTCGGGGAAGGGGGGGTTGAAAGGGGGCCGCCCATCTGGTAGAAGCTTCAGCTAGTGTAACAGGTTTTTTTAGTCGTCATAGCCCATGGTTAGATCTGTGAACTCATCAAGCAGTATTTTTAATTCTGGGTGACAGACAATGTGTCTTCTCTCGATGACTCAATGTGGCCACACACAACCAGCTGCGAATACTGCAGACGGTGGGCACGCTCTGTGTGGGAAGTGGGACTTACCGGTACGCATCTGGCCGAAGCTTCAAGTTCCCAGGGGACCAATTCAACCTGTGTACCATTACCAGACATCAGTTTGCACCATGCAAACAGCTGATCTGACAGGGTTCTTCTGACAGGGTAAGATCTGTGAACTCGACTTGTGCAGTTTGGAGTTTTGGGTGGCAAGCAATGGGCCTCCTCTTCCTATCAGGGTATGATGTGACCAGGGGTGTCAGCAGCAAATATCACAGGGGGTTTTGAAGCAAACAGACCCACAGCCCAACGGGCGGAATACCAGCTGTCATATCAGCGGTGAGAACAAGGATGCATGAATCATTCCTCTCCTGATCTTACCACTGTCCCCCCCACCCCATCTCCCACCCCGTCCCTCACCCGGTCTTCTACTTACCAAGGCTGCAAGTAGTACCATCATTTCGTAACCAGTAACCGTTATTGCAGGCGCAGACGACCTGGTTGACGTGCGCCTGAATGCAGATCTGCTCGCAACCCCCGTTGAACACAGAGCAAGGATTGATACCTGGATGGACGAGATTTGAAACACCGTCAACAATGCCAGGAACTGAGACCTCAAACTCGCACGAAAATTTCACTGCCTCAAAACTAGCAGAGATTGGTCAGTTTGGTTGCTGTCCTTGGAATCTGCTATTCCCATATCAACTTCATTTCAATAATGAGAACTGGGCAAACAGCCAACAGGAGATGAGCTCATGGCAATAAAAAAACATGCAGATGGAATTTTGTTAGGAAGGGAAGACAAGTACCTGACCTTGGCCAAACCAAAGGGGGAAAAAGAGAATAATCCATTCCACTCGGCTTGAAACAGTCCATCTGTTCCCTCATGCAATAACTCCTTCCATTGCATGAATGAGAAATGTTACTGGTTTTACATTTAAACACATGCTGAATGAGGTCCCTGCAGCACCAGAAGAAATCTCAACCTGATGAAAACCTCACATCACCCAAGGGTCCAAAAATTCTTGTGACCATGTAATGGAACTTCCATTTACTGTGGAATGGAACATCTATCTTTTGTGGTGCAGCTTTGCTATGCATTTGGATGAATAATTCAGTGACATGTGATCGGTGACACACCAATAAGATGACAGGGACTTATCCTGACATTGTACGGTAGCTTATGGTCCATGCTGTGGGCATCACGTACTGAAAGGGTCAAGTCTTATCCAAGGTGTCTCCGACTTACTTGAGATCACTCTCCTGCTGGGGTGGACCACCTCCACCCCTGTGGGTCTCTGCATGCTGCCCCGCAGTCTCACCCTGCCCCCGCCCGTCGCCTTGTCCACTCTCACGATCATGTCTTCATCCCACTCCGTGAACCACACGTAATCTTGGAACTCGGAGATGCCAAATGGCTGACCCATTTGGCTGCTGGTGATGATGCGACGCTCCGTCCCGTCAAGGTTGGATATCTCTATCACCTGGGAAAAGGGACAATTGAAAGCATGCCTAATCTCTGGAATCTAGTCAATTTGTTAAGATGCCGACTGGTAGCAGAGTTTAATGTTTAATTGCCCGGACCAAGCCAATTCATACATACACTTGGGGTAAAAGCGAATGTGAGCACGTGACTGTGACATCAGCTCAACTACTAGTGCTGCGATTTCGCAATAGTCAAACACAATGAAGTTGGCTGATTTTTTAAAGATCAGTCTTGGAATATACTTTTAATTAGGAGCCTTTCACATACATTTTGTCAAATTATAATTCCTCTATTTCACTTTAAACTGTATGATTTATTTCCTTCTCTATCACAGTGAGAAGCAATGGAAAAAAGTGCAGTGAGCTCCTTTTAACATTTCTGACAAACTAACACCACAACTTTCTAAGAGGAATATGCTATTCTAAAGTTTTAATAGGAGAGAAAAACCTCAACCAGTGACAGGTTGAAAGTACTTACGCAGACTGTCTGCATAACTCATTAGCATTCATTTGAACAGATCTCCAGGTGTATTTTACTGGCAGATCTATAATTAGAGTTGGATAACCTTTCTCCGAAATACGACAGTGTACCTGTTAGGACACACCTGTCCACTGCGACACACTGTTCTTACGAATGGGCACACTCGATGGGCAATAAATTAACTTTTCTTGTGGGCATTTCTGACAATTATCCTTGCTTCTTATTACTAAGAAAAATAACCCACCTCAATTTTAATGTTTGTGGAGAGAAATGTTTTTCTGCTTCTTTAAAATGCTGGAGACTAGAGGGCGCTGTTGATGTTGCTTTGATGTCAATTTAGGAGGTCACTGTATTTAATTTACCTAAACTTTATCAGACTATGCCCAATGTTTTCATCTACAAATTGTGAAATAATATTTAAAGTTGCTTACAGAGTTTGCCCAAGAATTCGACTCTGCACTAAAATTGGCAAAGAACCCAAATATAAAGAACTGACCCTTCGGGCAGGTTTTTGTACTTATTGCAAGGCCGCTAAAGCAATAGCCTAGGTTGATAATGCAATGACACTGCTTAACACAAGAAAATATAGGTTGAAATTATCAATTACCATCCTTGCCAATATGGCCAACTGGAAACACAGGTGTTAAACAGGTGTGCGAGTGTAGTCAAGAACAAACAAAATATCACTTGGCCTTCATCAAGAACATCGCTTTCCAGCAGCAGCTGAGGGTGAAATCTCAAAATCCGATACCTGTTCCCCCTGACCGGCTGTCACTCAGCAAATCCCCCCAAATCTTTGACAAGCCTGAGAACCTGATCCCTGGACAAATTTCCACGGCATCTGGCTGGCCCTACCGGCATCTGGCTGGCCCTACCGGCATCTGGCTGGCCCTACCGGCAAATCCCTCCATAAACCTGTTTGAGCCTTGGCCTCATTCTAGAGACTCAAGGTCTAAGCAGAAGACACTGCTTATAAAATTCTCCAGCTTCGCACGAATTGACAGGTAACCAGTAACATGAAATATGAATTGCATGGCATTTTCACTGGTGACCTAACACTGTTACGCCAATATTTCTTGGCTTAGCAGATCCAACAGACTCCAAGTCTCACCTTTCTGCCGCTGTCAATCCATAAAAGCTTCTGGCTCTGATAGTCGATGGTGATGCTGGTGGGTGTGGTCAGGTTACTGGTTGCTATGGTAGCACGGTGCCTTCCATCATGACGAACAGCCTCGATTTTGGCCGGGCTGGCTAAATCAGTCCAGTATATCAGACTGAAAAGCATGTAATGGTGAAGTGTTAGCGAGCAGTGGAAATGTAGGCCAGAATATGAGCATATTGGATTCGTTCTATGTGTCTTCTTTCTAGGTGTCGTCAGACTTGTCAGCAACAGTGCCTGGGGCACTTTGGAGGATCGTTGGTGTCATGAACAGAAATAAATCATATTCACAACTTTCAGGGATTAGATTGGAGGAAAATTAAAGTATCCGCACAAAATAATCACCTAAGGGTTTGATCATGGCCTCATAGCAGCGTACGGTCTGTGTTTCCTCCAAGGTACCCCTTAAAATACCCATTTCTTGTGATCAATATCAACCGTTGTCTGTAAAAACACTATAAAGGTAAACGGAGCATCTTCAGATTTTAAAACACGTCGATTGTTTAAAAATCCTGGAATCGGGAAACTCCTAATGAAAAAATCCTGAAATCCGGAAAATCCTGAGGAAAAAAAGTTGTGAAATCTGGAAAATCCTGATGAAATAAATCGTGAAATCCGGAAAATCCTGATGAAAAAAATCGTGAAATCTGGAAAATCCTGATGAAATAAATCGTGAAATCCGGAAAATCCTGATGAAATAAATCATGAAATCCAGAAAATCCTGATGAAAAAAAATCGTGAAATCCGGAAAATCCTGATGAAAAAAAATCGTGAAATCCGGAAAATCTTGAGGAAAAAATCCTGATGAAAAAAATCCTGCAACCAAGAAAAAAAGTGATAAATATTGGCCCTGAACTTTGCTTGAATTCAAATATCCAGTGTACTGCATTCCCACAAGAATAATCCAAAATGATTTTTAATGCACTCCGATCCCAATTTTTATAAATCTCCCAACACATAAAACTTTTTGCAGTTGAGTACAGCATTCTTACTTCAGAGATGGGTGAACCGCAATACCACTAGGAACTTGGAGCCCTGTTTCGACAATCACCTCCGGAACGCAGGCGTGAACGCTGCAGGATGCAATGTGGCCCTTCCTGTCACAAATCAAGCATTAACATTATTACTTAGCAGAAATAGAAGACTAGTTTTGGTACAATAACCATCACTGCCCTCACACTTCCTTGTAGGAAGAAACAGTTGGTGTAAATCGTCCTGCTTAAGGACATACAAGCACCCAATAACGCTGGACTCAAAAGCCGTAGTCTGTAGAATTACCAAGACCATTGAGACACGAGACGACGGCTGCTGTGGCCTATACCATTCTTTAGACCATGCACTACGTCTTATCAGAGCCTACTTGTTGAGCACACAATTTAAAAGAGATCTTGAAATTCAAAGCCATTTCCAAGGTTCTAAAGAGCCCCACAAACCCTGATACAAGTGTTTGTAGGATTTTTCTGTAATCCTAGCTTTGGAGTACGGCCCATTCACATTATAGTGCACCACCCACAGATTGCCGCAGAGAAGCCATTTTCAAGTTTACGGTTGACAAAAACGTGGCCGACTCACCACAATTAGAATTTTAGCTCTTTACAGACAGCGCGGCAGGCGAATAGAGCTTTGTCAGCAATTTCCCACAATGCACTGTGACAAAGACCTCTGTGTGGCAATCCCCTGGTGGTGTGCTGAATGGAGAATTGCCTATATTTTTACAAGTCTGCCTTTCATTGTAGTTGCAAAAAAAGGAAACTGTTGGTCTTCTCTCTTACTCTGAATCTGTCCAGTAAAGTCGTCCTCGCAACCAATCCAGAGCTATACCACCGATCACTCCTAGCCCCTCCACAATGACTGCCCTGCTCTGCATGTCCATACCAATGCGTTCAATCATCTTCCGGCCCGCATCCGCAAAGTAGACCGTCTTATCGGCTAGGTCGTAGTCCAGGGCAACCAGGTCCTCCATGTTGCCGTAAGCGACCTGCATGTAGTCCGTGCCGTCAAAGTTGATGCGTTGGATGTCGTGCCGGTTGGTGAAGATGAGGTAAGGTTGCGGAGCCGGGGGTGGTCGACCCTCCTCGATGTCAATGGGACAATCGCCGTGGGTGGTGCAATTTAAGCGGGCTGTGTCAAAGGTGAAAAAAAAAGGACATCTGTGTCCTGACCCACAAAATGAATCTTAAAAACCAATTTTTTTTTTCAAAGAGCAAACTGAGCTTTAATCTCCACTGTATCACACTACTAGCGTTAAACAGACGGTGGGTATGACCTTCACCACCTTGGATCCAAGGCTCGAAGGCTTGACATACCTATGGGACTTTGAGGGGGTTGCCTGAACGGGTGTATGACGCGGATGCTCCTGGGGTTGGAATCTAGGTAAGTGGTGGTGATGACTACCATGTCGTGGCCCGTGTACTTATTAGCCCGACTGATTGTCTGATCCGTCAGCCGTGTCCAGTAGATGTGGTCGACAAAGAGGGACAGACCATAGCAGTCAGAGCTGGAGACAAAGAAAAATCAATGAAAATAAAGTCACTCAGTTGGATGTGAACCAACCACCTCTTGCTTTCACTGTACTGTCCATGGTTCTGATTACATGCAAGGCACAAAGGTTGGTTTCATGAATGATGGCATTTGATATTCTAGCTAAGTAACATATCCATAAGTTTTGAAATGACTTCTTAACTGAGACAAGATCGATCGTTTCAGACAAATCAATCCCCAAGTGAAGCATTCGAGCAAGGAGCAGCTTCTTCTTGGCACTACTTGCTAAAGAAATGTTTAAAATAAAGACATCCATGATGCACAATGTCACAACAGCAATTAGCCTTCACTTCCGTCTAAAACCAGTCATGGTTATCATTCACCTGATTTCGAAATGTTGCCAGTTATGCAAATAAAAACCTACTTCTCCCAACTGCATGCATTACACTTTGCAACACAAAAAACTGGTGAACGACATCTTTAAATGCTGCTGCAACTTGTGCTTTGGATTTTCGAGCACACAGTAAGCACTTGGACATTTTTTAGTGTTTATGGCATTTAGAAAATGGCTCGTTCCCACTTGGAAGAATTACTCTTCTTGACTCACTTCAACCCTGATCGAACGGTCTCTCTCTCGCTGCCGTCGTAGTAGCTAGACTCAATCAATCCGGTGCCATTGTCTAACCAGAAAAGTCGCTTGTCCACGTAATCCAGCACCAGGCTCTTGATGTTGTTCACCCCTGACTTGACGATGGTCTTGGTGCCGGTTCCGTCCAGCGTAATCCGCTGGATACGCTGCCGCCGACCGGCGGTGCTGACGAAAATATATCTGAAAACACCAAGGGTTTCAAATTGTCTTATTTCTCAGGCAATTGGGTATAATTTCTGGCTATGCAGTGAATTCCACAGTGTATGTTCTTTCAGAATCGGAATCGAAAAGTGTTATGAGAACATCACAGATTTGTGAGTCACTTAACTCTTGCACTCCCTGATCTTATGAAATCTGCTGCTTTTCAAAGGACTTGGAGAACTGAGGAAGGTAGTGCCTATCTGTCGGTATTCGACAATTTGCGGAATAATCAGAAGTAAAAATCCACTGATTTGGTTCAGAGGAATCTAACTCCCGTTCCACCTCTGGAAACAACTCACCCCTCAACAGGATCTACAACAATCGCACTTGGTGTCCGGGGCCCCGTTTCCGCGACGATCCTCCGGTCCGTTCCATAGATACTGCAGCTTTCGATGCACTTGAACAGTGAGTCTGACCAGTATATCCGAAGGTTGATCCAGTCGACCACTAAACTCTCCAAGATCCCGACATTGCCCGATATGAGAGTCTTCAGGGAAAAGGGTGCAATAAGACAATATAGAAGTACAGAAAGGGGAAACATTACATACCATACCTTGGTTTCAATTTCATTCATAGTCCAACAACGGTGTGTCTCATTCCAAAACTTGGAATGAGACACACCGTTGTTGGTTTATTACAATCTTATTCATCATTGTTAACCACAATCAATGCCACTGCCCTTGTTATCACAATTGTCCTTGTCACTGTCCTAGACCATCTTGTCATAGCCATCAGACTTCCTTGCTAACTTCATCCTCATTCTTGTCATCCACATCACTGTGTCATACTCAAGTTATTGTCCTTAAACGTGTCACTATCATTACCGTCATTCTATTCTTGGTTGTCCTCAATGTCATTGTCCTTGTCATTTTTCTGTGTCACTGTTTTCATCGTCATGGTTCTCCTCTCTGTTTTCCTCGTCACTATTTTTGATCTCATCTTTGTCCTCGTCATTGTCCTCGTCATTGACGTCACCAGGAAGCATGCAACTCAATTACAAAGCTTACTGAATCAGTTCCTCCGGTCAACGGCGCCCAGCCAATCACATTCCTCATTGACTCAATGAAGTAGATCCTATCATGCATGACATCATAATCAAAGGAGTATACAGTGCCGATGTTCTGTAGGATGGGCAAAAGGTTTGTGCCTCCTTCGTCCATTTGGGAAATGTCCATGCCATGACTGAACATAATGGACGGTTTGGGTTCTACAAAATAACGAGATAAAAACAAAGGCACACTGATGAAAAGGTTTGAAATTCTGCAAAATGTGGAAAGCTTGAGGAAAGTCTGATTAATGGCACCTGCAAATACTCAGAATAACCGTCCCCCTGTAGTAGCTATTTTTTTCTGAGTAAACTAAAAGATACTGTGGAATGGTGGAAAACTCAAGTTGTGCCATCACATCAGGAATCCACCTACGGACTGTAACAGCTATCATACATGTACTTATGCCATCATCATAGGACAAATTCACTTTGAGATATATGCCTACTTGATTTTTAAAAAAAATTCCATTTAGGTATGAAATTATATTCACAGTTCTATGATCCTTATTGCTAATACCACATAGGTGATTTAGCACAATGTTAGAAAAGCATTGTGGGAAGGAAAATAGGGCCGCGTTTGCTCCTTTTTCCTTCCCACAATGCCTTTCTGCCATTGTGCTAAATCACCCATTACGCTTATTCATGTTACTGTCCATGTATCTTGACCTTGGGTTATAACAATTTCAAGTGCACTGCTTACCTTGGACAAAGCATGACCAGCCATCTGCCTCTAGGGTGTACCCAGCTAAACATGAGCACTGGAATGCGCCTGGCGTGTTGGTACATAGTTGACCACACTGCTTTCTACCACCTTCAAGACATTCATTGATATCTGTAACCAGAAAATTCAAACAAAGAACTTTGTATCTCACATGATTTGTGAGTGTGGTTGCTTACAATGTTTCTGTCATCAACATGTAGCCATTCATCACTTGTACACAAAATCTACATTGTCATCAGTCCTTTTTAATTTTTTGCATGAATTGTGCCCAGGCTGGGAAGGACCGCCACAATGGCTACGTGGTGAACTCATTTCGTAGCGGCTCTCAAAAGTGTTCTCCTTTACCGACTGCAGTGTTAAGATATATAATTCAATAATTCCCACATTTCCCTACCTGCAAGCGCCTCGAAGCTGTAATCTTTCTTTGCTCTGGCTGGTAAAGAAACCGTTTCCGCCAAAATGACTAATTTACTAAGATGCTCTGCCGAAAATTAAGCCCTTTAAATTTGTGCGCCGGAAAGGCATCCAAGTTTTTAGCGCCGCAAATACATGACGAAATGCCGCCCTCTACGTCTAAACACGGCCAGATCTGACGCGCGTCGCGGGATGCGGTTTTCGGGCCAGTACCCATGCCGGAGGATTTTTGGTTTGTTGTTTTTAATTTCTTGTAGAACAAGCATTCTGAAATGGTGCAGGTTATTATTATTTCAGATTTACCTTGGCAAGATCCGCTTTCGTCTAAACGGTGACCGTCGGGACACGATGATTCTGACGAACATACTGACGTCATTAACGACGTGCCCATGACTGTGAAGAGAACACAGAGAGAGGTGTTAATTTTATTTGGTAACAGCCTCACATCTCCAATCAAGGCATATATCTCATTCTTCGAGTTATTTTATGTATACTGGTGATCCATTCTTTCCGTCATTTCTACACGTTCTTGCTCTTTCGCAATGCAACTCTTAAGAAAACAACGAACTAACAAGGCCTCAGGCACCGAGGTTCAGAAGTTCATGTTGAAGTACCCGAACCTGTTTAAATACCTGACAAATTGGAAACGATACTAGACAAACACCCAAATACAAGGAAAACACACCTTTTTTACGAGTCCCCCACGGGTAAAACAAACGTCTGTGAACATGATTGCGCGCGTAAACTAAGGGGCCGACGTGGGACCGTGCAAATCCTGGGCGATACGGACCGGCGCCAGTCGGTAAACCACCACCTCAAGCCTCCGGCCAATATCGGTCGCTAAACGTTCGCTAATTGGCTCGCGCAAGTCGATTGGGATTAGGCGAGATAAGGAGCAGAAAACCGGATCGATTATCTCAGATTTTGATAACAATTTGTCAAAACACAAACGTTTAGGCACGTTGTCATGATTTCACTGAAAATGGTTGCCTTGTCCCCCAGTGCAGACGACCATGATCCCCAAACCTCTGACACGACAAAGCCCAGTCTTTGATTTGTGGCAATTATTTGTATTACGTTACAACACTCGAAGTAATTATACCAAAAACATTAATTAGTATAAGCAAAGACGACACCGTTGAGTTACAGAGTTACAGACAATAATGCATTGGTTGATAAGGTTATACAAAAGTAACATTTTTCTTACTTTTGTCTAACTTCAGAAAGACTTAAACGCCTAATAATAGCCTAAAATCTTGAGGCTAACTATCTGATTTTTGTGTTCTTTCCTTTTTTCACGACGCACGAGGAACCTGTTGTAATTTTGTTAAAGAGATTTCAAAGATTGCGAATCTTGTATGGATCAAACAAAAGGGGTCTTAAACAAGGTTCAATTTCTATCATTTCTCCCAGCTCTAATATCACACCCTGATAAAATCGTAAATTTTCGAAGGAGTCTCAAATTCCCGCACGAATTCCAGCTGCCGACCATAAAACCGACACGAGGCGCGATAAAGACATCGCTCAACTGTTGCATTTTACACACAATAATTGGGTGGTCCCTCGTGTAAGGTGGAAGTTCATCGTGCACACTAACTTGTTTTTTCACTACTGGATATGGTTTTGATTTAATGTTAGCGGCAAAGATTTGCGAGAGATAATGGATGGTGCGTGAACCCCTAGCGACTCCCGTGGGACGGGAATGGTTTACGTACTGCAGGTATTATGGGTCTGTAAGCGTTACTCCCCTGGGAGGAGATTTGTTCCGGTTAGATTACTACACTCGCACTAAACATTTACGGACACACAAGTGGAAACAATAACCTTGACGTCGACGCAGGTGACATTTACATACTTTATAGCCACTTCTGAACTTCACAAGTGTAGACCACGCCATCTTTATGGGTGTAATAGTTAGACCTCGCGCTCAGAAAGCCGAATTACTTTTGCAAATGTTTGGCAAATCTGCCTCATTTTAGTTTACGTTCTGCAGGCTGTTTTGCTATTTATGGCTTTCCAGGATAGTCACAAACACATCATTCGTGACAAACACCGTGGGAAATCCATTAAAAAAAACATAAAAACATGTTTTGATATAGGTCGGCTAATAACACAAAAGTTTGTTGGGTTGTTCCTTACAGGCATTTGGACAAACATCTACGTGATAAACTGGGAAAATCTTGAGACTAGCCAGCCAGACAATTGAATTCCATTCGTTGAATTAAGAGACGGCAAACTATTTACGGACAGACAGTGTGGGGGAGTGATATAGTGGGACACCCTGTCAGACACAAACGACAGTCAAATGCGAGACGCCTGCGACTTAGTGAGGAACTAAAAACCAAGGACACCACGCGACAAAAAAAAAGGAAGTGTGACAAACTTTGCCAGTCCGCCTGGCTAGACTGCCGACAAGAGAGGTGTCGGGTCAGGTATGGTACGTGCAGTTCAGCCTGACAGCGCGCGACAAGTGCACCTTGGCTGTCGAACAAATTGTGCAGCGCAAAAACTGCGGTGTGGTACTTTCTGGCATCCTGGGTGTTGTCAGAGGACTGCACCAAGTCTAGGTAGCGCCCGGTAGCGATTTTGACGCCTGATACACAGCGCTTGGCGCAAGTGCTGACGGGCATAGCCTATGGAAAGCATAGAGCTACGGTTTGTAGCTCTATGATGGAAAGGTAGGCCTACTTTTTTTATACGTACATCATTCCCAGAAAAGGGGAGGGTTAAAAAACGCCGCGTAGAGGCGCCACTTTTGGAGCCAGCTGCTGACCAGCCGGAAACAGGAGACCTTTTTGGCCTTAACTAGTGGTCGGTTCGTGACGTACCTCGCGCATGTGCAGTGAAGTTGAAATGCGAACGACCCCAGTCAACCGTTGTCAGGTCATCAGGTCGAAGGGGAGAAAGGTAGCCGCAGGAAGGGCAAAATAGCATAAATAAAAGTGACAATTTACTAGTAACATACTGTTTTCCGGCATTTTTCTTACAACTGGTCCTCTCTGCACTGTGCTATTAAAACGATTTATGGTTACCACCGATGCTATCAACCTGGATTGGCGGCTCTAGTTGACTAGACTAGTCCAACCATAGTCGACTAGCCTGCGTTCGACCAGAGTGAGTCGAACTACGGTTAACTATACTATCTATAGTCCTTGATCGAACCTGCCGTTAGCTTTCCCAGCCATTTCCAACTGGTTAACATACCTCGTAAATTATCTTACTCCTTCCAAGGCTTCCCAAATGTAATAATGCTTGGTCTATAAGAATTTGCGAAGAGCAAGGGGTCATGACCTCTAAAATGGGTAAAATGGTTAATTGTCAGCGGACGGGGAAAAGGTGAAACGGTCACTCGATTCTAGTTTGACCGTGGTTTGACTCAGAGGAGACATGATTTCTACCACGACGGCGCAGTGGACACTGACGAGCCCATGTCATTTTGGTGGTCACTGTGCACGCTGTGGCGGATTAAACGTCACTAAAGTGAATTTTTAAAAAGGTCTGTCAAATTTAGTTTCAATAACTTCCTATACAGCCCTAAAAAGAGCAACGAAAATGTGTATAATTGTAAAGAAAGTTAGAGCATTTTGAAGTGTGCTTAAATTCGGGCGAGCAGAGTTAAGAAGTCATTACTGCGGTTACATATCATGCTCGTGGACAGGGGGTGTGCGTGCGTTACATGGCTCTTCGACCAATAAGGTGCACTTACCCAATGCGCGCGCGCGTCAACGCGCCACCGCAGTTTATGTTGGCCTCCTTGGGCCAGGTTAGTCTATGTGCAGATAGATCTACCCAAGCATTTGTCTCCAGCATTCTGTTTTTCTGCATGAGCTCATGCGGATATTAATGACAGGAGTTTTAACAGAAGTGTTTTGATAAACGTTCTCTAAGGACACCAAGCAGGCACTGCAAACAAGTCAAATACGACACCTCTGCGACTTGTCCACAGCATGCCCCGGCCTCATTTCCGACATCGATGGCGGACAGCCCCTCCACTTCTGCGGTCGCCCAAGGCAAAAATAAATACAAAACGATATTTACACGTGCCCAATTTATTACAACTATTTCGGGCGAAGTGGAGGGGGGCTGGGAGAATGTCTTACCGACACCTCGCATGCATGAAGTGGGGAGAAATTTGGCCTGGGGGAACCGGACCTGAAAGTGATTTCCGGACGGCAGAAATTGGCCCACAACTGTGTGCTCCTTCTCAGGAAGATTTAAGCACCAGGTTTTGGTGAACCGCAGTATTTAATTTCTGTAACATTCCATCACGCAGGATTAAGTTTCCGTTGAAAAATTACAGCACTCTTTCCTCCCGAATCAAAATAAACAATAAAGCCTCCTTTCAGAAAGCCTTCTACTACTGAGAAACATTCGAGTTTTGTACACTCGAAACCGCAAATCGTGAACAAAATTTGACACAAAAATTCCTTTCGATATTTGAAGCATGATATAAATTGCATGTGCATTAGACGACACGTCCGTGCGGTAATTTACTTCCATCACTCGAAGCGTGTGCCACCAAATGAAGCCGTTTTGAGAAATCCTATCTATCTGAACAAGGTTTCTCCCAGCAAACTCGTCAAGTTTCGGAGCATTTTCACTACGACTTGTAATTTCATTTCACCTTCCTGACAGTATCTAGCTGTTATGCAAAAATCAATCCTGCCTCAGTCAATTAAGCAAATGTACACCATCTTTCCGTTTCAAAATAATAAAGATTGCGGACTGCCCCGGACTCTTACGTAACAGCTCCAATTGTTTGTTTCCGATGAGAGATCTGATTAAAAACAGGACTAAATGTTCCCGGAAGAAATTAATTTAGACTAGAGCAACTGTTGCCCCAACCAAGATAACGCAGACACAACAGAGGTCAACGACCACCCCTCCCGACCTCAAATTACATGGCATTTAACCTTTGGCAGCAACGCGCGGATTGTCTACATACGTGCACGTACAGGAATGTACATGTACAATGTACATGTACATGTACATGTAATGTACTTTCAGCCTGGAAGACCTGCTTGACTTCCTCGGTGCGTTCTTCAAAGTTGTTTTTCTACTTCTACAGGGCCATTTTTTTGTCGAACTAGTCATAAATGATATGACCGTATACTCCAGGCGCACAAACGCTTATAAGAAGCGAAAATCTATGGGTCATCTAAATAAAATCAAAATATTTGGACTGATGATGTTCGATATTCTGTCCACCAGTCCATCGCTCTTTCCAATACTGCAAGGTATTTAAAAAGTCACTACAATTTTTAAGTCCAGGCTGGTGGGGAGTCTACTTGTGAATCCGCCCCGCTCGAGCAATCCCTCCTTGTACTGAAATCAACATTGTTCTTTTGTTTCCGGCCATAAAGATCCGCCTGTTTTGAGAAGACCAGGTGATT